ATGCGGACTCGTCGGAGATGCGAGCCTCGCCAAGAAGATCGGCGAGGCAGCTCACTGCGCAGGCGTCGTCGATGCTTTGCAGCGCGTCGGGGCAAGCGCCATCGGGCGTGTCGGGCTGGCTACACTCGCTGGGGAGGAAAAGGGTTCCCGTCCAGAGCAGGTCTCCGGACGACGGTGCACCTGGCCCCATGGTGGGCGCCAAATGTCGGGTGGTAGGTGCGACATATGCCAACGGATGGCTTATCATTGTGGGAGCCAGTAAGACATCGCCGGTGCCTGGAAACGGGATAAGGCGAAGACATGCACGCCGACGGATCTTACCCAGGTTGGGGGCTCTCCGTGGAGATAATACCCCTACTCCTGCTTTGCGGGGTCTCCGCATGATCACTAGATCGATAAGAAGCTACAAGAGACTCCTTGAGCTGTTCGGTGGGAGGAGGAAGAAGGGCAAGGCTAGCTCTCTTCTCTCCCTATGGTGGTGTCTAAAACTCTATGAGATCAACCCTTTGCATGGGTGTCCCAGGGGTACAATGGTAATCCAGCTGGGCGCGGACCCCAGCCGTCAGTGTCTATGGCCGCCGGCTTCTCCGCCGGCTGCTGGGGCCCGCCGACTGGTGGGCCCCGCCGGCTGCCGGCCCATTGGTCAACAGGCTGGCCCCACCGCTTGGGGGTCTTGTCGGGGGCTGGTTACTGTTGCCTCGCTTCTGATGACGAGGGCTTTGTCGAGGTAAGCATGGCTACAGTGTCGCCGCCTTGCGGGCTCTCACTGTAGCCTTACCTCGTCTTGTCTCCTTAATGGTGCGCACGCCCCAAGGAGGGGAGCAAGCCGGCTATAGGAAGCCGGCCATGCCTTAGGCCGGCTGGGGGAGGCCGGGCCGCCTTTAGGCGTCTCTCTGACCGAAGGGGCCCGCCACCTACGGGCCGTACTGGCAGGCCGTCGTGGAGGGCGTCATGATTAGCATGGCAACAGTGCCACGCCGGACGGGGATGGCTGTCCTGGACGGCGTACTGTAGCCATGCGTGCTCCGGGATTCGGGGGTGGCAGGGTCCACTGCACGCCCCGTCCCATCATCGTTATGGGGGGTGCAGACTTTTAGGGTGCGGCCCCTGGCCGCCTGCCAGGGGCCGACCTCTTGGAGTCGGCTCTCTTGGGCTGGCCTCTTGGAGTCGGCCCCATCGTGGCGTCCCCCAAGAGGGTTTATGGCCGGGCCGCCTTCCGGTAGCCGGCCTGTGCGATAGCCGGCCGGAAGAAGGCGGCCCCGTGTCTTGGGTGCTTCAGGGCTCGGTCGGCCCATTGTTTTTTCTAAGGACCAAAGGGAGCCGGTTAGGCTACTCATGGTCATTTACTCCGACAGGGAGAGTGTGTCTGCGTACCCTCGTAGACTGCAAGCGGAAGCATTTAACAACGCGGTTGATGTAGTCAAACTTCTTCGTGATCAAACCAATCAAGTACCGAACGTACGACACCTCCACGTTCAGCACACGTTCAGCTCGGTGACATCCTCGCCTTCTTGATCCAGGAAGACGGGCGAAGTAGTGGATGAGTTCCGGCAGCACGATGCGCATGGTGACGGTGGTGGTGATGTTTTCTTCGCAGGGCTTCGCCTAAGCACTACGAAAA